GAAGTATACGAGGTATTCATTGCTTGAATGAAATCACGGGTCATATACAGTGTTTACACCAACTCTTAACACATCTATGAACTTCTTTTATGAATTATGGCGACGGCTTTTGTGAATGGATGTTGACCCTTTGAAACGCCTATGGACTTAGAGACTGGATTTTATTTATCCCACATCATTTGAGACTGAATGCTCTATCTTGTATGAGTACTTGTATCTACAACTATTTTTGAGGATTCGAGTATTGGCTATCAATTTCAATTTTTTTCTTCAACGTGTATTGTAATGACTTCAGTATGAATGAAATGTCCCTTGGTCTTCTGGTCTTGGATTGTGATATTTGTTCTTAAATGGTGGGGTGAAAGGGGGTATTAGACATTGTTTATTTTCACGTTAGATCATGGTTTTGGGCTAGATGGGGTTTGTTTTTCTTGACTGGTATGCACTTAGAGTTTGCTTTTTCTTGCTAAGTTCCATTACAACTTTTGGTCCTTTCCCTTTGGCACAAGTGCTTAGATATTGGCTTCATGATTTTGAAAGATTTATTTTGGCCAGGGGGAGGTTCACTCGACCCAACCCCACCCCCCTTGGCTATGGCTTGCAGGATTCGTATATGCATATGAATCCTGCCTCCAGGATTCAGTTGTTTTATTAACTTTTTGGATGAGGATGTAATATATTTCAGATCATAGGCGTGGTCAGGCCCTTAATAACTTAAAAAACAAAGAAAGATTGACAAAGAAATGGATTATTTTCCATCCAAGTTATGATCACTCGAAACCAGGGGTGATAAATCTTTGACAAACACGTTTTGTGCTTTAATTTGATAATATATCGTGATCCTGCAAACATTTCAGATTTAGCAAAATTAATAGGCAGCGATATCCTTCTGCATAAGTGTAATTATTTCGACTAAGCTATCGCCAACACATAATTTGATATTAACTTTATTCTGAGAATGATATAAACCAAATACATAAAGTATTATTAAACATGTATATAAAATGATTGTAAAATTACAATACTAGTAGAAGTAAGCGTAACTTTAGCGCATAAGAACACGTGACCGGTCTAATTATATTGTTTGTTTTGTAAAGGGTGCAAAGAGATATCAAAAGTCTTGACACACCCTGTCCACGATAACTCTTTGCACTTCTTGGTACGTCTAGATATCTCTAGATACGCCGAGTTTATAGAGAAGCTTTGCACGTCTAGAAATTACTTTGAACATTTGACGCGGTGAATATAGCAGTTAATAATAAAACAAATATTTCATTCTATCCATAGTCTACTGGCCCATTGGGCTTCATAGAACATCACTTGTAAACTATGCACATGTATTCACTTCATTAGAATTGAATATTTGTATGTTGGTTTCTCCATACTTGAGAAGATATTTTCAAACTAGAGGTTCCTGCAAACTAAAGGTTCTTGTAAGTCTGAATTTGTCGCAGCTGTGAAACATGTACAGTCTTAATAAAAAAAGATTATACAAAACGAAGCAAATACTGGATGAGCGTGGTGTAAAAGTGGTTTTGAAAAATAGCAAATTTCTCTTTATGTAGGTAATTTGTGGTTTATGATTCTACATTGATTCTGAAAATATTGGTGTCTAGTTTTTTCAGCGTTTTGGAAATATTCAGATTTATACCCCCCTTGTTTGATTTTGAGAGGGGTACTAGGAAAGTCATGTAAAATTCCTACATTGTACAACCAATCATCTTGATATTTACAGGTAATCATCTACTTACCATGTCCTACAAGAGTCATAAGTTTCATCAAAGTAAATTAACTGGTTGCTATGGAAACGGAGATCATATGTCAAAAAGTACACATTAGGGCGTACTATGAAAGCTATATTCAGGGCGTATAAAAAAAAAACGCAACAAGAAGTTATCTCGTAAAATCAAAAAACTAGTGATGACTACATCAATTTCATTCAATGTACCATAAAGCCACATCTCTCCTCTTCGCAATGATATGTCATTCATTCACATGTGATAATAGCTGGGTGAGAAATCTTTCCATTTACACAGTGGGTCAAAATCGGCTCTGCACCAAGTTTTAGATATTGAAAAAATCAGTGCAAAGGCTAAGTGCCAATGGAAGTTCCTCTTACTTGAATTGTTGTGACTTTTTCTTTTGGAGGAGCATCTGTGGTCACAATTTCACCACCAGATATTGCAAAACCTTGAGAAAGAATTGCCCATGGGCTGCTTTTCTCTGCTTTAACCCACATATGACTCAGGGCTAAACCATGCATGACGTGGTCACATGAGCGCATCTTTGTGTGCAAGGAAGTGGTGGCAATTTGGAGTGGTATAGGATGTATTCTTGCAAGAGTATGAGTATGAACACTTTACTGTCTATGCCACACCTGTCACATTCGGTCCGAGCTGAATTTTGCCCCACTTTGCAAAATTAATGATTATTCGGCCAGAGATGACTCCCTGTGAACGAATGATATTCCATTGCAAAGAGGAATAATTTGGCTTTTTGGTACATTGAATGAGAAGGATGCAGTCAGCATTGGTTTTATGTTTTCTTCCAATATTGCATCGGCCTCCGTACACTGACTTTTACGATGTTTATAACTTGGCCCCAAGCTAATTTCGGCCCACTTTGCAAATGAAATGATTACTCGCCCAACCATGACCAAATATCAATGAATGATATATCATTGTAAAGAGGAGACACATGGCTTTATGGTGCATTGAATGAAATCAATGCTGTTATCACTGGTTTTGTGCTTTTCGAGATAACAATCTGTTTTTTGATACGCAATGTATAATTCCTTGAATATTAAAACAATCATTATGATATTTACAGACAATCTACTTATCATGTCCTACCATTATGACAAGTTTCATCAATGTGGGTCAAATGTGGGTAGAAATCTATTTGTTAAAAAAGTACACATTTCGTAAAATTTTAAGACACCCTAAGACATTGAAAATTGTCATCAAATTGGGAGGAATTAGCATGAATACATTTTAGAAAACCTATTTTGAGTATGTCTGATAATATTTAATCAATGGATATTTCATCTCGGCCATTTGATGCATTGTACTTGCTTATGATAATAAAACTATGCAGAATGCGGATGTCACATTATGCGTAGGGACATAGTAAATTATGAGCTGATCTCACTTAGTCATCTTTTATATCATTTGCCTCAAAATCCTCATTAATAGATCTTTCAATGTCTACTTCTGTCAAAGCATCCGTTGCAATCTTTATGTGACTATATGTCTATAAGATCATCAGGTGGAATGCGTCGGTCTGGCCAATTTTGCCCTATTTTGCCATCAACAAGTTGCCACGTCATTTGTAATAAACAAACTAAGAGATGTATATGTACAACTGGAAATGCTTATTAATGAATTCTGAAAACATCGAAAAGTTGAAAAAAACAGCAGACATAAAAAAAGTCAATGTATTACATGAGTGTAAAACATGTCCGTTGATGACCAGTGATGGCAATAAAACGTCCACTGTTGTGATTGATGAGATGTGATAAGTTTTATGAAATGGTTTCATGTTTATTTCTCCCAAAATGATGAACATATAATGTGCTTAATGTCAAAGGTTGCATGAGTCATGAGAATTTTATTAAAATGTGTACTCTTTTAACAATTTCTGTTACCGAAGCAACCAAATTACCAACATTGATGGCGCTTCTTATACTGGTAGGACATGTAGACGGATGATTACCCATAAATATCAAGATGATTGATTGAATATTTTAAGGAATTATACATGGCTTTCATAGTACCCCCTTAATGTGCACTTTTTAACAAATTATTTCTGTTACCATAGCAGCCAATTGACCAACATTGATGGCACTTGTTATACTGGTAGGACATGATAAGCAGATGATTACCCGAAAATATCAAGATGATTGATTAAATATTCTGCGAATTATACATAGTACCCCCTTAATGTGCACTTTTTAACAAATGATTTCTGTTACCATAGCAACCAATTGACCAACATTCATGGCACTTGCCATACTGGTAGGACATGATAAGCAGATGATTACCCATAAATATCAAGATGATTAATTGAATATTCTAGGAATTATACATAGTACCTCCTTAATGTGTATTTTTTAATAAATTATTTCTGTTACCGTAACTACCAATTGTTACACATTAATGAGACTTGTCATAGTCGTAGTGCATGATAAGTAGATGATTACCTGTAAATAGCAAGATGATTGGCTGTATATTCTAGGAATTTTAGATGGCTTTCAATGTACCCCCCTTAAAATCATACCAATGGGGTATAAATCTGAATACCATCGTAACCAGTAATCCAACACTGATGAAATTTTCCATGATAGTCAAATATAATAATGTGAAGGATGTCTGTAAATTTCAGGACAAATGGTTACTTATTTTCTTCAAAAAGTTGAACACAAATAAAGAATTCTTTGGAAAAGTGCCATGTCCCCTCTTTAAATTTACTTACATTGCCATATAATCATCAGCAATAGATATGACTGTGTGGATAAGATAAAGCAGCATTTGATTTAATATTATCAAACATACTCTGAATAAGTTTTCTAAAATGGTTTCATGGTGATTTCTCCCAATTTCATGAAAATACTATGTGTTTTGTCTCATGGGGTATCTTACATTTTGGCGAAAATGTGTACTTTTTTAACATATGATCTCCATTTCCATAGGAACCAGTTGATCAACTTTAATGAAAGTTGTCATAATGGTAGGACATGATAAGTACATGATTACCTGGAAAAATCACGATGATTGGCTCTATATTCTAGAAATTATATATTGCTTTCCTAGTGCCCCCCTTAAAATTACACCAGGGTGTATAAATCTGCATATTTCCAAAACGCTGAAAAACTAGACACCAATATTTTCAGAATCAATGTAGAATAATAAACCACAAATAACCTACATGAAGAGAAATTTGCTACTTTTCAAAACCACTTTTACACCACGCTCATCCAGTTAAAGAACAATGATTAATGTATATACGAAGAAATTGAAGTCCAAAGATTATTTGAAGTCATAATTTAGTACCAATGTCCTTAATCTAAGATCGACTGTTATTAAAGTGCCCGATAAACTATAAAATGCGCATGCGTCCAGGTGTTGATAAACTATAAATAGCGAAAATCCAGGGTTTGTCACCACAAGGTAAGCCAGGGCGTGTTGAGAGAACAGCTAGTGTTGATATTGAATTTATATGTAGCCAGATAAGTTTTCTTATTGAAATTACATATGGTTATTAGCAATACTTTGTATGTGCTAAATAATAAAATATTTAGAGTATATATGAGAGAAATTGGTCATTTCGAACCTGTTGAAAAGTTTGTGGCTCTCGGCTACACCGGGGAATTTACTTCCATGAGCAGATGAGTACACACATAAATGTGGGGTTCCTCAAGAGGTACGCGACAAGGTGACCTGGCATCAAATGCGCTACTAAATGCTACTATCGAGAAGATAAAATAACGAATACGACAATAAGTTATTGCATGTGACAATTCCGAGCCTTCATCTCACTGAAGTATTTTGAAGTGAAAATAGGATTTTTGTTTTGATACATGGATTCAGATGAACGTAACTTTATTCTGACAACTAATCAAAACTGAACAAAATTGATTGTACGTAACATACAATTTATTGTTTTAAAATGTTTTGATTGGCTAAACGAATGAAACCAACAAATCATGACATGTAAAATGACAATTTTGAAATGTAAAATTTAAAAGTGACAAACACAACCTCCCTATCCACTCTTTTGGAGCCCTAGTAAATTAGTAATATGTACATGCAGCAGTGGTAGTGTACAGCTTATTATCACACTCCGCTTTGTATTATAAAGCCTGTTGTTTGTAATAACACTGTTCACTCAAGGTATGTTTTGTGTGAGGGCAGTCAACGATAATCATTGTTTTATCCCGGTTATATGACCTCGACGATTATAACAAAACCGTACTAAACGAAAAAACGCAAATAAGAGAAAGCTTTCACACACATATAAAAAATGAACTAGTCTAATCCGCCAGTATAAACTCTGTGCGATACGTAGCCGGGTCAGGCGCACACTTTAAGATGACATATGTTATTTGCCCATAAGCATCTGTATTTCCGTGTTCTGTCACCTTGGCGTGTATTGGTATATCCTGTTCTTTGTTCATGATTGTCGATTATTTTAGATGACATATATGTCGTTTGCCCAAACACCTCCGCATATCTGTGTGCTGTCACCTTGACATTGGCTATTACATCCTGAAGAACTCCCATTTTTTCCATAACTTGTACCACAGAAACATTGGCCTCCATTCTGGACTCCAGCATATCGGTAGCCTGAAAGATTCAGAAATATAACACACATGCTGTAGTCCGGTTTTTAACGTTGTACTTCCCGTGATTCACCTTAATGGTTTTATATGTCTGATTAGAACAAATAAATTTGAGTGCTTTTGTAATTGTTGAAATCAGTATTCCCAATTAACCCTGAGTATAGATGATCGATTATTCAATTTTTGAATCATTATCAACATGCAAATGATTTATTTGGTCATTATGTAATTATTTTCACTCATTGATTACTTATAATCTACTCCAGTGCTAAAAAATTTCAACTAATTACATTATTACCTTCGTTAAGGTCTCGGCATGTTTCGATACATATTTGTGGAGTCAACGTAGAAATTGATCCTGCAAAATGAGGCAAATCTCTCTCGGTAGTATCTTTATAACATCCAAGGTGCAAAGAGATTTGTTTACCTGAAGAAGCAATTAGACATTATAGAAATAAATAAAAAGTTAAAACATAATTTTAAATGTATTTTTCTTTTATATTGTATTGTATTGTATTGTATTTGTATTATATTGTATTGTATTGCCTTGTATTGTATAATATTATAAGTATGAAGATGTGTATTATAAGTATAGAATGCATATTGAACGAAACATTTAATGTTACATTAAAGACGAAATTAGTGAAAAGTCATCACTATCTTTGTACAGAAAGCTCCTTGATAAAAAAAGGACGCCAACATTACCTTGAAAATGATTTTGAATTTCAAGGTGCGCGAATGAAACTCCTCGCAAGATGTGGTAGGTTCCAATAAAATGATGAAACCCATAAATGGAAAAACCACTCATCTAATAATCCACACTGTGATTTCTGTCCTTTGGATATTGAGACTATTGAACATAGATTACTGCATTGTAAACACTATGAAGAGCAAAGAAATGAATTTCATAAGAGCTTAAAGTCAATCATACCCTACCTCATACTAGATACCTATATCAAGACAAAATACTCGACAAAACTAACGTGGTTGTATTGTATTGTATTGTATTGTATTGTATTGTATATTCTTTATTTCCTCCATTAAATGAAGATTAAAAGTTCTTACTGGCACTCTACAAGTGTAGTTGAAATTATTTTAATCTTTTTAATCAATAATACAATGATTTTAATCAAGATTTTAGTCAACTTATTAATGCAATGTTTTAGATAAATCCAACTACTTTTTTATCTTCATGTAACTGTATCTCAAATGGACGCACCATTTTTTTTGTGCCGCTGTTGTAAAAGCGTAGTTTCCAAATAAATAAATAAAAATAAAATAAAAAAGTTAGTATAACGACTTATTCTACGAGAAATTGAATAAGAGGTTGTAGCAGACGAGAATCAAATGTAATATAAGAAATCAGAGAAGGCATTGACGCAACATTCAATTTGTCAACTCTCACCCTCATGATCACTCCTACTAAACACTCCGTGTTTCTTAAATCCACAATGCACACAACGCTTGTCCAATAATGTTCTTATGCGATTGGCAAGTCATTTGATGTGTTTTACGATTGATCAAAAATATATTTGGGACCATACGCATTCGAGTGTCAAAACACAGGATCGTCATTAGATTGATTTATTTAGATATATACGGGCATCAATTGTAGCTGTAAAGAGTTTGAGGCTTTTGAAATCTTGATTATTGAAAATGTTATTTCTTTCTCTCCAAAAAGAATACAGCGAAGAATACAGTAATCACCTATCTAAAAGTTGTGATGGAAATTGTGATGTTTTGACCGATCGCGACTTGCTTTTGGGTGGCTTTATTTACCAGTATGTGAGATAATCACATTAATAAATTCAGAATATCTCATCTATGACCATAATACTTCCCTTTCAATTCGGTATATTATAGGATGATAATAATTAAGAGTAAACGACTAAACACATAGTATTATGAAGAATGATAAATGCAATAGTTACGACTTTTTCAATAAGCTAGACTTATATAAAATATTTCAAAAATACGTATATCGTTCGTATTTTTGTTTGAAGCTAACGTACCTAAGCTGCAATACAGATCATATCCTGCATTTTCTGCAACTGTTAATACTCCATGGACAGTTAGATCTACGAGAGAACATCCATTGAACGAATTGTAATAAAAACAAGTACATTGGCTTCTCTGCATCAAGCAGTGAATTGCGCAAACCCCGATAGTTGGTGCAAATGTGTTTTCACCGAAATCAGCGTGCATATTTCCATGGTACTTGTAAATCCAACCAGAGCATATTATAATGCGCCAACATAGTACGTGAAGAGTTAAAAACAAAATCCAACTTTTGCTCATCGTTGCATTTCATAAACACCCGAAACTTCTACAGTTTTGTAAAACGAATGGCCTTATTCCTTCTACTATTTAGACAAATTATTTTTTATTCCCACACATCTATAGAAAAAGTGCTCTTCTTCACTTATGTAGCATATTTACTTGATAGTCACTTAATATTAAATTTTGTCAAAACATGGTAAATATTAGTGTTAATCTTTTTGCAATAAACGACTTATACAGAACTACTTGTAGTTTTTTGCGACATCTCTTAATCGAGTCAGCGTTTTGGATTGTAAGTATTAATTCTAAAGGAATGGTTAATTAAAGGTTCACAGTATTGACTTAATAATTACAGCCTATTACTTAGTGCATTAAGTTTGATATTTACTGTTTTTGTCAATTATTTATGATTACGCAGATTGTTTCCATACATTATTTCAATCATGTCGTTGTTTCCAAACATGTCAGGTGTATAATGACTTATTGATGTGTTGGTGGACTTTAATGAACCTACTGAACAATTCGACCCAGCTTATATAGTAGCTATATGTGTCTTATAAGGTAGTATCCGATGATCTGTTTAAATTTGCAAGTTTGACTGTTTAAGGAAGTAGAACATAACATGTAACATGCTTAATTGTTTCAATTTCATTTGGCCAATAGTTCATTCGCATCTAAAGTCCCCGATAAATTGGGCTACGTATACCGCCGTGTTTACATTAGGGGATTAGAAAAGTTTATTTTTTATTTAGGTATGCACGCTTTATCAATATTAGGCCTTCGTGCATGTACTCGTGTGTACAATCAGCATGCCCTTTAATATTATATAAGCCAGGCTATTCAAGTACAACATAATGTACACTATTTATGTGTGTACTACATGGGAATACAATTCCCTGGGAAACAAATCACAAATACTTTTTTATATGTTCAAAATGAGCCATTTGATTGATGCATACACTTAATAGTTTCATAAATAATATCTACAAAGTATATCTAATAGTAATTTTCAATTTAAATGGTGAAACTTGCCTGGTTACGATAATACGGGAAATCAACACGGGACGAAGATTGTTCACCTCCCTGGCTTACCTTTGAAGCCTGTACCTTGTCATCTCTTTATATAGGTTAGCGAGAGCGCTTCGCCTGCGCAGTTATAAACTTTAGCGCACACTTTAAGTCATATGAGATACATTTTCAGTTTACATTCATTGACATTTTTGTTCACATATTTGAATACAGGGCGTTTAATAAGTACTGATAAAAATACTGTCACTTACAGTAACTTGCTTCAATAGGAAGGTGGTAATGGGTTTAGCTAAATGTGGTATGTGGTGGATCAGGTCTGCACAAAATGACCAACTTAAACTGTGAATATATATCCTCAGTCAATTGCTTGCGCACCAACTTGTCACACATCAATGTCATGTTTAAATCATTATAAATAACATGGTGGATGTGACCAACAATTGATTCAGTCATGTCTTCATTTTTTTGATAGGAATCCATCCAATATTTATTTTATTACATCAAGCTGGGTAGGGGAAGTTACAATTTTCGGTTACCCATGTCTGGATTCATCTTCGACTTCGATATAGTGTCCTTCGCATAAGGTTCATAAATGTCATTTATTGAATCCTAATTTGATTTACATAGGAGAATATATAACTTCAAATTTGATGCTGAATATTGATATTCTGTTCAGCAGTCATGTTGTTGATGACATAATTGCTGCAGAGTTCGTGTGATGTGATTTCTCAATGACATCACCTGATCTTAAATTGCTCATTGGTGTAATTGTATCCTTAGTAATTGCTCCTTGATGTAATTTCCACATTACAATTTGCTCTTTGATATCATCAATGGGTGTTGGTAAAGTATTTTAGTACAAGTATTTATTTAAGAACTGCCACGATGGATTCAAAAATAAAATTACGTATGAAAATGTTCACATTTTCAGTCGGTTATTTTAATTTTTTCGTGCAGACCTGAATCACCACGAACCAACCTAGGCTCAACCCAGTACCACCTTCCTGTTTGAGTTTAATCTTGTAACTCTCGTAGTACATATGAGTACAATACTCAAAATGGACAGTAGAAAACCTAGTTAGAAATATGAAGAAATAAAAAAGGTACAGCATTTTTATCACTTAATTAATGCCCTGTATAGCATAATTGAAAACTATATACTAGAAATGTGACTTTACTACCCAGTTTATATACTCTTTGGATAGATCTAAGTAGACGAGTAAGTCCTCAGGACATGAATAACTAGACAAATTAGAAAACTGGTCTAGAGGACAGATGAAACCAGAAAACATAGTCCACTTGGACATTCATTACTAAAAAAATAAGAGTAATTTGTCTCGGGAGAAAATCACCCGGACATTATAGTCTCTTGGACATGCATGAATATTAAAAATCATTTAAGGAAAATGAAGACACAACTATATATATACATAATACATAATACATATAAACACACACAGATAAAATCATCAAGAAGAAACCACTATTCTAAAGGCATTTTTAATTCAGTAATATATCAAACAAGTATATGGTAAACAACTACTGTAAAACGACATCAATACAATTAATATTACATTACAGACATGTCCAAAATCTAGCCAGGTAATAAAGAAACGAATATGGAACCCAAGAACAAGACATTTCATAGTTGATGTTAGACCTCATTGCGCAGACAGTACAATGCGATTTCATCTTGGAACTTGGAAGTCGATAATGATGATTCAACAGTTTCTACAATATTTTTTGTAAAAAAAAGTTTCTACAATATGATGAGTTAGAATTCTTATAAAAGGCACATAGCTGCATATATTTGCACCTTGGGAAATTCCAATCGCGTCAGTTTGGACAAATAATGTCAACAGTAGCAGGATCATATAGACGTTTATAAGCTGTATTGACAAATTATCCATTGTGTTTGTTTTGTAATGGATTGTCTTTACATTGTAGAATATATCCGTCATTGATTCTGAACTTGAACTTCCACATTGATTTGTTTGTGAACAGGATGTCAAATGAAACATGTGTGTAGACAAAGTAATCGGATACCAATAATAACTTTGATCTTTTTTAAATATCGTACTGTGTTTCCGTCCAGTAGAACGATGTTGTAAAATCAGAAAAAAGTGAACAACCGTTACACTTCTTGTACTAGACAAATGCTGTCCTATTTTACTGGACATATTTTCACTTTCATAGCAAATAAGATAAATAGGGTAATATTGATCCATTGGAATGAATAAATAATCAAGTTTAAGGGAACTTTTTTCTATATCTCTCATTGTAAAGAACCTGAAAAGGAAACTAGTAACGTTATTTATATCCCCTGTGGAGATGAAAATATTGACTGCCCTATGGCCTGATAAAATAGTGAGGTTTATATTTTGTTAAAGAACGGATCACTGAACGTTTGCTAAGTGATTTTTGCGAATAATGATTAACACAAATCATACTGACACGAACCATAGGATATCCGATAATAATTAATAGAAAAAATGACGAAACTAAGTAACTGAGTGCTTTGGATTCACTATAACCAATTATACTATTGCGGAAATAAAACATGTGAAAATCAATACCAAGTTATTAGAAAGACTTTAAAAAGTATTTAAAGAGCATCGCAAACGATTTGAATTGTTGTGAAAATCAACTATGAAAACAATTTGGATTTGGGTTTCAACGTTTTGCATCATATGTTGGCGCATTATAACAGGTTCCAGTGAGATTTATAAGTACCATGGAAATATACACGCTGATCTCGGTGAAAACACATTTGCACCTACTATCGGGGTTTGCGCAATTTACTTTTTGATGCAGAGAAACCAAAGTACAAATACTTGTTTCCATTACAATTCGCTGAATGAATGCTATTTTCTTGATCCACCTGGAGGTCTAATGAGAGCAGCAGAAAATGCAGGATATGATCTCTATTGTACTCCAGGTAAGGTAAACGTTCGTTCAGAAATGAGTACAAATTTATAATGTACGAATGTCAAGCATTTTCCGTGTTTTTACAAAAACAAAATACTCAATGAAACAATTAAAAAACTCGTCAGATGAATATTGAACAGAGCTAAGGGCCATTTTTGAATACATGAACAATCACAAAATAAGACATTATTTTATTAGAATATATGGTTCGCCCTTTGTTACACTACAAAATTCGAAGCTTTAAATCCTGAGACGACATAGTAAATTGTATAACAACCGTTTTTTGTTCATGCAATGTCTAATTATTTTTTGATTGATAATCAGATATAAACATCGCCACATACTTGTACCTGGGATGTTATAAAGATAGTGGTGACAGAGATCTACCTCACCATGTAGGAACAACTGATTTGACTCCTGAAGTATGCATTGATACCTGTCGAAACTTAAACCAAGGTAATAATTGAAAGTGTAAACGATTACTGCAAAGATTAAGAACAAAACATTGCAATGTTGATGGAATAAAACATTTACATGTCAGATATTGCATCATAACGGTCGGATGAACAAATATATATTATCATGTACACCCAAATATAATAATATTATATTATGATAGTAAAACATGTTTCGGGATTTTTGTCGAAAGTAGGGTTAGAATTATTCCTACATTACAAAAAATCTCTTTTTATATCAAATCCTCTGAACCCAAAATACTTAAGATATTTTCAATATGCCGCCAATGGAATAGCAGCCATCAAGTCAGACAATGTCATACGATACTAAGTATGACGACACGTTTACTTAATAATATTCTAAAACAATATTCCAGGCTACCTTTATGCTGGAGTCCAGTCAACGACACAATGCTTTTGTGGGACAAGTTATGGGAAACATGGAACCTCTACAGGGTGTAACAGACAATGCCCAGGTGACAGCAGACAAATATGTGGAGGTACATGGGCAAATAACATATATGCCATCTGAAATAACAGAAACCATGGACTACGAACACGGGGCTTCTGTAGGATCAAAAAATACACAGAAATGCAGAGGTTCTTTGGAAAATAACTAGTTTTGAACTAATACTCAATATTTGACTAAAAACAATATTTTATAATCACACAAAATTCTAGATTGACAATCTTCGTTTAATTTTGTTTCAGTATATGTCATTGTTTAGTTGCCTTACAATTATGCGTAACGTGATAAACATGATATGAATATACAGGGTAATCCAGAACTAATGTCAAATATGTTGCCATTTTAGTTCTACTAACCCTACTATCACACCAAACTAGTTCTAACTACGTTCTCGAAAACGGGCTTCAACTGTGTACGAACGGACTGGACGTACTAAGAACCGTTTGGGATCTATTTACAAACTTCATCGAACGTACTCGAACGGGTAGGTCCTCTAGAACTTAGACAATGCTCAAAATGTTCTCGTGGTCGTCACGTTCTACAATTAGAACGAGTGACAACGTATTAACGACGAGCTGGACGTACTACGAACGGAACCGTCGTACTTCAATCCTACTAGGGACGTTTTAACAACGAGTTGAACTGTCTGAGGACGTGTTGAGAACGAGGTAGAACTCATTGCAAACGGGTTTAAACTGATTAAGAACATATTTAACTCTGCTTATGAACGAGTTAGCAAAAATATAGCTATCACACCAAACAAGTTGCCACTGCGTTCTTCAAAACTGGTTCTAAACTATGTGCGAACGGAATGAACGTAGCTGCAACTTTCTAAGGCCTATTTACGAACTTTATGAACGTTCTCAGACGGGAATGTGATTTTAGAATTTTGAATCGATTCAAAATTCGATTGCGACCATACCGTTCTGTTATCAGGTCATGATGACCTTCTAGACTAAGGGACGCGTTCTACGGCGTTGCACACCGACGTGGTGCGACCTGAACGAACTGCGAACGAGATGGACGTATTGAAGACTGTTCAAGAACGAAGAAGCTAATTATTTCAGACATATTTCCCGACCACAGCCAGATTGAGCCCGTTTTACGACGTTTTCGTAGGACTGGCAAGAACGGGTAAGAACGAGTTTGGTGTGATAGGGGGGTTAACCAATCTTCGTGAGATTTGGTACAGATGTTCCTCAAACCTTAGGCTGTGTTATAACCCCCATATCACACCAAACTAGTTCTCAACCATTCTTCCCCGTCCTATAAAAACGGGCTAAATCTGGTTGTGGTCGGGAAATGTGTCTAAAATAATTAACTTCTTAGTTCATAAACAGGATTCAATATTTCCATCTCATTCACATTTCGTTTAGGTCGCATTTTGTCAGTGTTCACACGTAACATATCTGATTGCACAACGTCTTTAACGCGTCCCCAGTAGAGTCCAAGTACGGACGGAACCGTCGTACTTCAATCCTACTAGGGACGTTTTTACAACGAGTTGAACTGTCTGAGGACGCATTGAGAACGAGGTAGAACTAATTGCAAACGGGTTTAAACTGGTTAAGACGTATTTATCAACGATTTAGCAAAACTATAGCTATCACACCAAGCAAGTTGCCACTGCGTTCTTCAAAACTGGTTTTCAACTGTGTGCGAACGGAATGAACGTAACTAAAACGTTCTACGGTCTGTTTCCGAACTTCATGGACTTTCCCGGACGGGGAAAGTGATTCAGAATTTTGAATCGATTCAAAATTCGATGGCGACCATACCGTTCTGTAATCAGGTCATGATGACCTTCTAGACTAAGGGACGCGTTATACGACGTTGTACACCGACGTGGTGCGACCTGAACGAACTGCGAATGAGATGGACGTATTAAAGACTGTTTATGAACGAAGTAGCTAATTATTTTAGACATGTTTCCCGACCACAGCCAGATTGAGCCCGTTTTACGACGTTTTTGTAGGACTGGCAAGAACGGGTAAGAACTAGTTTGGTGTGATAGGGGGGTCATATAGAGTCTACTGCGTGATCGATTAGTTTTATGGTTACCAATGTGACCAAACGTACTGTCACATTGGGTAAATATTTTGTTTTATTACAGGGTGGGCCAACAAAACCCAACCAAATTTTTATAACTAAGCCATCTCATATAGATTTAAGTCATAGTTGGTACAGTTGAACCTCGATTAATGTTCTATCTCTACTAAGTTTAATTGATCTATTTTCAATGGTAATGATTCTATGGCCATTTCATAAAACATGCTGAAAATGCCAACAACATACCAAAATCTCGTAATACGAACCCCCAGAGAGTTGAAAGAGATCTATGTTCGAGGTAAATGAAAGCCATAACGCAATGCATAGTACCCCGGACAGGTTGAATGATGCAGACGTGTTTTTACTCTATATATTTGCAACGGAACAAGCATCCTTTTTGAAATTTTTAAAATTTATTCTAAAGACAATTTCCAACATGGAAAACAAATATTTGAAATGATATTAAAAGTTCAATTGCTAAAACAAAAACCTGTACTTTATTGACAGTTGAGTGCTTTTGAAAAAGCCTATCAAAATCATAAAATTAGAAATTTCGTCAAGATATTTTTTCCATGTTAGAAATTGTCTCCAAAATAAAACATGGAAAGGTTGTTCAATTGCAAATATAGAGTGAAAACACGACTGCATCATTCATCCTGTGAGCGTGTAGTCAGAAAACTCACCCTATGCTTTTCAAGTCTCCAAGACAAGATCGGCATTTTGAGATGAGCATGTTTTTTTACGATGGGCATTTAAAAATGACAACTTTAAATGGATTGATGAAACGTTGTTGAATAAAAGAACAATGAACAAAGGTGTAAATGTGCCAAAAATAAATTGAAACCAATAATGGTTGACTGAGTTATCAAATAACGTTAACATTCTAGTCGACCAAAACGGAATGTTAACAATTCTTAAGTGAATGCTTTGTTCTACCTAATGACTAGAATTCATATTGCTGCTAAGTTGGTACGAATAATAAACGGTCGAACAATCGAAGTAATGTATTCAAAATTCTTAAAGTTCACGTGTGCACTATTGCGTACAGAAATACCGATAATGATTTTTCCAAATAGTGCTTCACACTAACCAATAATAATGACATTACAAACCAATCGATGAGCCCCATGATGATTATGATAAAAAATTAAAAAAGATATAATGAATAACGGAACTCTCCAGGTCTAGTATATTCGATATAAGAGAGTGGTAATAAAACACGTTAAACACTATTTTGATTCCACAAAAAATAATATAATAGCATTTATCCAGCGTAGGACATTTTTGAGCGTTTGTGAAAATCCACTATGAACACAACTTGGATATGGTTATCAACATTTCATGTGATATTATGTTGGCACATAATAGAAGGGTTCGGAGAGATTTACAAGTACCATGGAAATATGCACGCTGATCTCGGTGAAAACACATTTACACCTACTATCGGGGTTTGCGCAATTTACTTTTCGATGCGGGGAAACCAAAGTACAAATACTTGTTTCCATCACAATACGCTGAATGAATGCTATTTTCTGGATTCAACTGGAGGTCTAATGGGTGCACCAGAAAATGCAGGATATGATCTCTATTGTACTCCAGGTAAAGTAAAGAAATGAAACAAGTAAAAAACACATCAGATGTTTTTGAACAGACGTATCCCCAGCGTTTAAAAATCTTATCGCCATATCCTATATGTTAAAAAATGATAGTCATATATGAAAAATGAGAGCATTTATATCAAATATTCGGATCGTCGCATTCAATACCATATTTCACAAAAACGTAAAAATTCGTTAAACTATAGAATTCTAAATTGCAGTACAAATGTCTTTAATTCATAAGAATGCTCATTCCTTTTTAAACTGATATTCAGATGTGAAAATCTCTTTGCACCTGGGATGTTACAAGGATACTGGTACTCGAGATTTGCCCCATTACACAGCAACACCAACTCCTGTAACTCCAAAAGTATGCATCGATACTTGTTACAACCTCAACCAAGGTAATAATTAATTTTAGTTTGAAAGTGTTTACGAATATCGCATCAACGTGAAGAACGAAATGTTTCAATGTTTACACACTAGCTCAATTGCATGACTGTCCACAGTTAAATCGAAACGGTCTGATGGTCAATTATATACAGGGTGGTCCAAAACGTGAACCCTTGCAACAAGCTATATCTTCGTTATTATTTGTATTAATGGGCTGATATTCTTACATGTTTTAGAGGAAGGTCTAAAATTGTTATGGGTACCATAAAAGTCACTCAGTCATAAGTCACTACGCAGCGTCACCGACGTGCAAATGTTAATGTTTTTGCTATAAATCAAGCAGCAATGGTCTGCACGACCTGTAATAAATATATATAAGCGACGTTTTATCACAAAAATGTCATTGCCGTTTTTTGTTTTGTTTGCAAACGTTAGATAGAAATAATCGAAAATAATTAATTACAATTGAACGGAGGGGGTGAACGGACGGGGGAAGTAATATGTCTTTAGGTGGAAGAAATTTCTGCGAATTCGTGTATTTGAAAAAATGAACTCAGTAACTCAGTAACAACTTGATGTTACAACTCTGAAAAGTGAAAAATAGTGACAAATGGAGTTATTGGAAATAAAGCCAAGTTACATCTCCTATCATATTCTTATAGAAACATTACCCCCCCCCCCTTCCGTTCACCCCCCCCTCCGTTCAGTTTTGATAATTTTCGATTATTTTTCATATAACGTATGGTAACGTGTTTTACAAAACCAACGATGACAATAGTTTTGTGATTCATATTAATTGATTATGATGTTAACTTGGTTTAATGCGGATGATATCTCATGTATATATTACTAATCAAAGATAGTAAACGGCCAAAATGCAATTCGAAAACATATTTATCAAACTACCTATGTACCGAACTTATGGAGGGGAGTGTATTTTGAAATATGTTTTCATAAATCAGTAAATAAAGAACAAAAAATGATTCTATGTAACATTTATATATGTACCTATAAAGAGCCATGTTGCATCTAAAATTAGGAGCAAAGGAAAACATGAAAAGTGGTCAATGCTGCAAC